TACTCGTACTGTGAACAACATTATTATCACCACTAAGAGACATTTTGCTTTTCTTCTATCCAAATAAAAGTAATTATTTAGTATCAAAATTTTCAAATAAAATTTAAAGATTGATTTCATCAAAATCTATTTACATATATTCGAATATAGAACATTAAAAAACGTGTATTTTGAAGCAAAAAAGAAATAACGTCATTTTCTTTTGTAGTATTATTTTATTATTATTTATCATGTTTAATAATGATGATATTGAGAAAATTTTTGATTTGTAATGAAAACAAAAATCATGCGATGAGCACGCGATCACTTTTTCATTCATTGAAAATATGGTTGTGTTCTGTCACTACATGAATGGTGTGGGTGCTCTTATCTCTTTATTCACACCTACATTCCACCCACACCGCCCACACTCACATTTCAACTACACACCCACACCCCACACCCCACACACCCACACCCACACCCACACCCACACACCCACACCCTCTCTGAAAGATGTTCAAGATGATCTGGTGATATTTGTTTGGACTCATGTATTTAAAAGTTAGTGTTTCGAAAGTGTTCATCCAAAATTATTTATGTTATATATTTAGTTCTATTGATGAGTATGCCTCGCGGTTCTCTTGAGGCCAAATATGAGATGTTGAGCGAATGCCGAGCTTACTATCGAAATGATGTTGTTCAATTAGTTCAAATTGATGAATTTGAACGTAAATATCAATCTAAAGATGCTATTCGTTGGTATACAAAACCTGGATTCTTATTTTATCTTGTTAATAAAGCTTTACGCAGTCAAGATATTTGGGCTCTATATAAATTTCGTTATTTCATTGTTGATTTATGCTGTCGTTTGGAAGAAGTTTCCTATTCACAGTCTTTTTCATCGGTTCGTCTTTATCGCGGAGCAAAACTTAATCGAGAAGAACTCGAACAACTGCAAGTTAGTTCTCTTATATCAAATAACGGATTTTTTTCATGTTCATTTGATCGTGATGTAGCAGAAATGTTTATTGGTATTGATCTCATGACTGATAGATCGTCAAGTCACAATCGAGATGCATGACAACAGTTCGTTTTATTTATTATTGATGTCGATCGTAGAACATCTATGAATACAGTTGTAGCAAATGTCAGTCATGAAAGTGAATTATCAGATGGAAACGAAATGATTTTTAACTTTGGATCAGCATTCATTGTCAATGAAATTAGTTTCGATAACGATAAATGCATATGGTTGATTCAAATGAGTTCATCTTTGGGCAATATTCGAATGATTGATGAATACGAGAAATATATTCTTAAACGTCTCGAATACACCAATCCGACTATGTTGTTCGGTCATGCTTTAGCTAATATCAGCAGTGATTATGCTCAATCAATGATTCATTTCTATCGTTTACTAAGAATATTACCCATCGATGATGTAGAACTACCTAATATATATTATAATTTAGGACGTATTTATCAATTTATTGAGAAATTTGAGAAATCTCTTGAATGTTTTCGATGCGCTCGATTATTCATTCGTCGTCTGTTACCGGAGAGAATGTTTGATTATTGTCGTATTCTAGGCGGAATGGGTACAGTGTACTCATACTTGGAAGATTCAGAACGAGCATTGGAATTACTCAGACAAACCTTAGTACTTCATAAGAAGTCATTTCCAGAAAATCATACGGAAATTCCGTTCCATTTGAATTGTCTGGGTTATGCTTATTTCCAAGCCAAACAATATAACCAAGCACTTTCAATTCTCAATAGTGCTGAGAATTTTTTCCAGTCAAAAATGCCTACAGATCATCAAGGATATGCACAAACTTTGCATTCAATGGATGTAGTTTATCGTGCTCTTGGTAATGATAAAAAAGCATTCATTTGCTTTCAAGAAGCACTACGTAAACGGCATTCATTACTTGCTAAAGATCATCCTTATCTTGCATCTACTTATTATCAACTTAGTCTCATATATAAAGATCACGCTGAATATGAAATTGCATTTGATTATGTTAAAAAATCTCTAAATATTCAATTGATCAAATTGCCACAGTCTCATTCCGAACTAAAACTATCAAAAGAACTTCTTCGACGTCTTCAGCAATACCAGTAAAAAATTTCGAATTAATTTTCTATAATTGAGATTATCGTTAATGTTTGTCTATGAATTAAAAGAGGCTTCATCGTATTTAATGATGATTCTCATTTGAATCAAACCTTCATTCTAAACAATATTATTGTCACGCTGGTCTTTATACAATCATAATCGAGACGGAAACCATCGAAATGGTTGTTTCGTCAGTATGCACAATGACGCTGAATTTGAATAAGTGAATATGAAAGATTATTGTTAACAAGAATACTTTACTGTGTCTGAAAATAATCTTTAAAAATGAGCATGTCAGACATCTTAAGTCAAATTTCAATTTTTTTCTCGAAGGACTCACTCTTAAGTTGAGCTAAGTAGAAATTGTCGAATCTTCTCCAAATTATCGTGACTACATATGGCAATACTGAGTGTAACGTAAGACTTTTGCAGTTGAAGTTAGAGAAAAGGACGTATTATTAAGAAGTCGTATAGCAAATCTGCATCAACTTTTAAATAACTACTATTAAATCTTCATACAAAAATAGACCCTGTTAGTTTTTGTATCTAAAAAGTTGACGATCTACTCGTTTCAATTGTTTTATATATTATTGACTAGATCAAGTATACAACTTCGATTTTTTAAACAAATAGAAAGTATCTTGCATGAGACATGGATTGGTGAATGGCTCAATGCTATGCATTGCTGGTTATTGTACCAGTAACCAAATGATAGGTAATCTAGATGGTATACAAATATACTCTTGGTTTCTTACGATAATACTTCTAAAAGTCATTTTGAAAAATGAAAAGTGAAGTATATTGATGCCAGAGGTGGTGGTTGATCAAGAAAATCTTGAAGTTAATGTAGAAATAGTTCATTCTGTTCATATGATAATAACTCAAGCGATATCCATTGATAGAACGTCGGAACTATCGACCAGAAGTGTTCAGTGAATGGAAGTTATATTGAAAGTCGCTTAATATGATAACATCTAACATAAGATAGTGTTGAACATTTAGAACATTTAAGAGCGTAGTCCAGATTTTCCATATGACTAAAGATATTGATCATCCAATTAAGATGAATTCGATGGAATAGAAGAAACAATATGATAAAGAATAAAGATACATGTTTCCATTGTCCGAGTTCCAAGCACTTTAAACAAAAACTAGCGATGCTTATTAAGTCGAAATGAGTTTAGAATATTATTCACTTCTCTTTCATAATTTCCTTTTGCTATCATTTGGAAATTCATCGTGGGCAAATCACTTCCAATAATTTGTTTCCATTCTTTTTCACACATAAGATGATGAGAGAATCCACATTCTATGTACACTTTGACTTTGTATATGTTATACATCCACAAAATACGAAATGAAGGCAAGAGTTTCTAATTCAGACAAATATATACTGAAGATTAGGTATATTCAACAAGATGTGCTATTTCACAGCCATTATCATCAAAATCCATGATAGACGAATATTTAATAGTTGATGAGATCACTGTAGGTACTACAAAACAAGCAAGAATAATATCCATAGACAAAAGCCTCATGAAAATAATAATGAATAAATTTGGAGTAATGAGATCATTTTGACATCACTATAATGACTATGAAAATAATGATGTACAAAGGAATTCAAGCGAGATTTGAGAACATGATATGTATTTAGTAGATGAGCAATAGGAACAAATTCGAATAAATCAAGTAATAATTCGCTGACCAGCTTATACCGTTACTCTGCGACTCGTGTGAGTTATTATTATTTAATTTAAAAGTTATTTTTTACTATGCCTACGACAACTCCTATGAAAAGAAAAGTAATGAGAAGAGTACTTATATCCTTCTTCTATATTTCATAATTCTTTCGCACCCTATATGAATCATGATGAATCTGATTCACTTGTTTATATGTAGTGTGTTAGAGATTGTGTTTTTACTTAGTTAGAGACATAGTTATTTTTGATGACAAACAACTTTTCGACTAACAACATACGAACGGTCCTTTTGATGAACATGAAACATATCGACGTGTTGCGGCGCTTCAAGCTAAGAGTCCATGTCATAAAAATCGGACTGATATCGGCGATTAATCCCGATTGATCGTCCAAAATCGGTGATTAATCGCGAAATTCAGCAAAAATTATGAAAAATCGTCGATTAATCGCGATTTTTAGGACAGCTGTTTTTTCGCACGCAGTTCAGATATGTCACTAATCAGCGATATTTTTAAAATTGTCACAATAATGGAACGTTCAGAAAATTCAGCAATTAATCACGATTTATCGAAACGATAATCGTGTGCTAAATCACGATTAATCATCGATTTTGAGCAAGACGTTTGTGCCCCAAATATTTCCGTTATTCTCCATGATAACAGATTTTCGAGATCATATTCGAGTTCGGAAGTACCAGATTGCTATTCTATCATGATTCCAATCAATCATTTGGAGTTTTAGGATTGGAATCATTAAAACTGGCTTTTGCTACGAAACGATAAAAGTCAAATTCGTGCACAGATTCTCTTTTGGTTATGTGTGTTCAGATGGTTTACATCCTTCCTTCAACACATTGAAAGCATACACCTGAGATCTTTTTTATAAAAACTGAGCAGATGTCGGAGAAAATCGGCGATTAATCGCGATTTAGCTCACGATAATCGTTTCGATTAATCATCAAAATCGTCCCGATTTTTAAGACATGGGAGATGAAAGAGAAGCAACCATCATCGATAATAAATGCGAGTAAAGTTTTGTATGAATACTTTTATTATGTCGTTGTCGGTGATCTTATATCACATAAGACTGTTTTTTAAACACTCGATCAATTGGGTATTGACGCAAATCGATTTCTACTCGAATACAATTGTTGAGTCACATTGTTTGAGACATTGCTCATTTTTGACAGTGAGCAAATAATGACAGGTATCCGTTGAAGGATAGAATAATGACCGGCATCTGTCATATGCTGTGATTGCCATAGAATTTTAAACAATGGAAAAGACATTTCTATTATATTCACCTTTATTGATCGTTTTGTTTTCAAAGATAAATGAATAATATTGTGATTTTATCAAATTGTACTTTGATCGTTCGATATTTCTATCAATATGTGCAGCAATGGCTTACTAATTGGATGTCCGGCGCTTAGCAATTCAGAAGAACACAAAATCCCATCTAAAACATTTTTATCAACTTCGAGCATGCTGCAACAGTTAGCTTCGACTTCTCTTATGTTTTCAATTACTTTTATACTTGTCGTCCTTTTAAAAAACATCATCGAAGTTGATTGTTCATTGGAATAAACAAACATCGCATTGATTCACCATTGATGCTTGATATGTGGCAAATGCAAAAATCGTTAATTAATCTCGAATATAAAACAAACGTTATTCTTCATCATGATTGTACACACGTCATAATAGTCAATCACAAATTAATGATTACATGCTATACGACTGGAAAAAATAAAAGTTCCTCTGTATTTTGAGGATATTGTTATTAAATGAACATATTTTATGAAAAGTAACGACATATTCTGAAAGCCCGTGAAATTTTATATCAGCTTGTATATTTGTATTTTCGTCTGAATATATATATATTACCAAAAACATTGAGTGCAATGAAGGTACCCTCATGTCTAGATTCCCACAGATTTGGTTTTGCCATTGTCATCAAAATTAGTTTTTAAAATTTTCTATCACTATAGAGTTATCTTTTGAAAAAAGTAATTATATATTCTGATAGAGCTTGAAATTTTCTATCACTCTGTATATTTATGTATTTCCTTGTATTCATTTATTGGCAAGAAAATTTGAGTACAGTGAACACACCGTCAAATGACAAGTACCAAAAATGTGCACTATTCTTTGCTTCTGGACTTCTCTTTTGAACTATATTATTCCTGTTTGAAAATTTATTTTTAAAAAGGAATTACAGATTCTGATAGAGCTTGAAATTCTCTATCATCCTATATATTTGTTAACTAGTTTGCGGTTATGTGCTGGAGAATAATTCTGGTGTTACGTCGACACACTCCTTGACAAGCTCTAAAAAGGATTAGCTCTTTTACTACCTCTCTCGTTTTTTGTTTCAAAAGTAAATAATGACAGAGAATTTCAAGCTCTAACAGAATATATAACTGCTTGTTCTAAAAGTTATTCTTATACTAAAAATAAAGTTGAAATGAAAAGGAACATGTTACTAAAAAATTCAGTTTTTTAGCTTTCTTCAGGAGATTACTGACGTAATACTCGAATTATTCTTCAGTCCATTTAGCAAATAAAGGCAAGGCAAGACAAAAGTATATAGCATGACAGAAAATTTCAAGCTCTATCAGAATATATAATTCCTTTTTTTTAAATTTATTTGTATAGTAACTATATTTTGAAAAAAGGAGAAAATTAACAATTTGTGGTACTTGTCATTTGATGGTGTGTTCACTGTACTCAAATTTTCTTGCCGATAAATGAATACAAGGAAATACGTAAATATACAGGATGATAGAGAATTTCAAGCTCTATCAGAATATATAATTACTTTTTTCAAAAGATAACTCTATAGTGATAGAAAATTTTAAAAACTAATTTTGATGACAATGACAAAACCAAGTCTGTGGGAATCTAGACATGAGGGTACCTTCATTGCACTCAATGTTTTTGGTAATATATGTATTCAAACGAAAATGCAAATATACAGGCTGATATAAAATTTCACGGGCTTTCAGAATATGTCGTTACTTTTCATAAAATATGTTCATCTGATAACAATATCCTCAAAATACAGAGGAACGTTTATTTTTTCCATGGGTATAGCACAAAAGCCTGAAATATGTATTCACACAAATAATTCGACGTATAGCTTCTGTAAGAACTGTGACTAGAAATGAATGACAGAAAACAATAGAAAATAGTCTTTCATACATGCAACGAAATTGACATTTCAATTTGTTTTCTCCTTTGCTAGAAGTCCGTTACCACTATGATGTATCTTTTTTATAGGGTAGCGTTGTATGGTTTTTTTAAACATTAAAAAGGTTCATCAAGAAAGCTAATAATTATGTTTGTTTATTGTCGAAGTTTTGATTTGTTTTGGAAACTTAAATGGACATGTGATTATATTTCCATAGATTTGAAATTCGTTGTTATAATAATTAATTCAACTTTATCGAGTTCGTCTGTGGCTGAGTTTTGCGCTGGTAATGATGAGTAAATTGAAACAGTTGTATAACATTTATGAGTAAACCACAAAATCCAAGATGCAGTAACACTCCGGTCATTGAAATGTAAATTATTAAGGTATATATCAAAACGAACACTGTTATTTCGCCGAGAGCGAATAAAATAATCAAAATCAAACCTAGCCATTTACGTGACAAGCAACTAAACCATTTGAAAGCATGACAGAGAAGAGAGAAGACACAAGAGCCGATACCTATTTGATTGAGTATAGCTGCAGCATTTACTTCTTTATAGGCCCAAACCAAACAGATGACCTTCGACGATGTTGAATTCGTTAATGTTTCAGCAGGCTCACAATCAATTGTTACACCTGAAACCATACTTTTCAAAATAAAACAATCACTTCTCAGTCGAGGACAAATGTCACCTTCAAATAACTGTCGTACTTGAAAGATGCATCCATCGATGAATAAAAGCGAAACGATCCATACTATGGCTACCAATTGAAAAGCGAGAGATAGACGAAAACGTCGAGAGGATAGAAAATTAATTTCAATACCATAAAAATTCATCATCAATTGTTCTTTATCAGAGCGAATAATAGCAAATGATTTTTCAATCAAATTTGCTAATAATCGATTTGGTAATAAAAGTACTGTGAATATTTTGATAAAAAGAGCTCCAAATAACATTCCATATAGAATTAAATTATATGTCTGAAACTCCATCATTATAACTTGACAGTATACTTAAATGTTAATAAATGAATATTCTTCGTTAATGTATCAAGTTGTGTTTGTCATTTAACTAAGATCATATTACTATCACGTAGTGTCGAACAGTAATTGAATCAAAACATAATCAACATTGACTAAAGATACATATCTAATCCGACCTGAAAACAGAGATCTGAACAAAGCCAACAATTTATTAAATCTATAGTAGCCATATTGTCTAAAGACCGAATCCCACCTATGCTTTTACTCTTAATTTCGAGGATTATTGTATGTAAAAAGTTTAGAACATATCAACAAAAGTAAAATAAAACAACAAAATCTACTTATGTATGATATGCGTGACTAAACCAAAGAGAAAAAAAGCATTGTCTCATCCAAAGCTTCAGTATAAAACAGGGAAAAAAATGAGCAAATATCAATGTCACTCTTCTGGAAACAAAAAAAACACTAGCAAAATATTGTTTCATTAAAATTCCTAAAACAAATATTGTTCGAATTCTTTTGTAGGTGATTTTTCCTTTTGATAATTTTGTAATTGCCATTAACGTGGATATCATTCGATGGATTTAGATACTAACCCTTGAATAAGTACAGATAATAACTTTAAAGAAAAAAAAAACATGAATCTACAACTATAGTAAACAGTAAATCTGAACGAGTTTCAAAGTTGCTAATGAAATGTCAGAGACCAACGAATTTTTCCTAGCTTTTCTCTTTCTTCCCTCTTTCAATATGATTTTCTTGAAATTTTATTTTGATTTACTTTGTTCATTGCTATGCAAGAAAAACTATCGTCTTAGCTTGAAAATCTCAGCTCATGCCAAGCTTTACCAAGTCATTCCCTATTGATACTCGCTGGAAAATGGATGATTTATTATCGCCATCGCTCATGGTAAATCTTCTTGTGTTACCTTTATTTACTAAAGTCTTAATTCTTTATAAAAAAATTGTGAAAATTAAAATTGAATATATTGCACCTTTGATCGACATTTACACATAAAATGAAGTGTGTCTGTTTTGTTGTTAAATTAATAATTCATGTGATTTTGATTGATTCAATAATGTGAAAACAAAAGATTTTTCTTTTATTCGTGCTAATAAGTTTAATTAATTCGATAATATTGAATTCATGAAACAATTGAATTAGTTATATCAACTGTGTTGACCTGAATACTTCTGTGATTAAATACTTATTTTTCAAAGTTGAAATATTTTACAAGAGAATTGAAGATTCAAGTTTAGGAACAAGTAAACAGATACTTCTTAAATAAAAATTTTTTACATTTAAAAGATGAAGTTCGTCGTAATCAATGTTTGTTATCATACTATGATAAGATTCTATGAAAATTATTTACCAATTTACTCACTCGACAACACTAAAAACATGATGATATTTACAATCAAGAACATCCTTGAATATAATTAATATTGGTTAAAACAATTTTTCTTCTTCTGTTTTTGTTCTGCAACACAATAGACTCTATATCCCTACTTGATTCATGATTAATATTAAATCTTTCTTTTCTGAGAATTCCTACCCTTGTGTATTGAACAAGAGTTATTGTTAATAATTTATGAGATTTATTGAGTCTCAGTGATGTACAATAATAGACATAAAAATGAAGTGCAAATTAATGTAGTTTTACAATGCTCTTAAAAAGAAAAAGCTGCCGCCATAGCTACCACGGTAAATGTCTCCGAAAGGAAAACATACAAATGACTCTTTTTCTTAACAAGTGAAGATAAATAAAAAAAACAAGAAACTACCAAGTCTTATTAGAGAAAGAATTAATATTTATTTAGCCTGAAATCATATCTAATTTCGAGAATAAGCAAGTCACTTCTCTTTCTATATGTCTCAAGTATTTGAAGTGTATGAACAGCAAGATTATTGTTTGTTCAGTATCAGATTCATATCTAAAGCATCATTAACATTGTGTCAAATAGAAAACAAAAAAAAATAAAGATGCAAAATCTATCGTAACAAATAATATACAGACTACTTTTCAATTAAAAAAAGAAGTATCCAATCATAAACAAATTATGTTAGTTCATCGATGGCTGTTGAGATTTATTAGAAATAAGTATCGGATTAGCAAGTTTAATAGCTGGAGTAATTAATGATGATAATAATGGTTTGATGATATTAATCTGTTTAGGTATTAATGGTGATGTTTCAATTTTATTGACAGATGCAATTGGATGCGAAGGTGTTGATGTTACTAATCGAATGGAATTCGTAGGTAATGACGATGGTTTATTAATTGATAAACGAATTACACGAGGAGTAATCTCTCGTGTTGTCTAAAGAAAAGATTTTAAAATAATAAAAAAATCTACATGTAAAAATGTTTTTCTCAACATAATATTCATTCAAGTTTTGATCATTTAGATATCAAATGAAAAACAACATATTAAAAAAAATGATTTGTTTTTTTTTGTAAGTGTCTTCTTACGTATTCTAAAATATTATTCAAAAAAAACAATCGTTCTAAATGCTGAGAAATTAGGCTCATACAGACATTTGCTCATAATTAAGTAATAGTAAGCCAAGAGAAAATTTTAATTGTAATTCATTACTCTTTTGTCTTTTAGTAATGTTAAAATGTTCAAGAAATTCAATATTTTCTGCTGAATTTTTTACATGATGTCATCCAGTAACATCCATTATAACTCTCGTTGTTCTGTGACGACAAAGATGTGATTATATTAAGGGGACCCCCCTTTCCTGAGCCAAAAAATTTTTTTCTTCGATTTTTTTTTCATGTAAATCTGTATCAAGGTCCCCTCTATGTGTGCTATAAAAATCGGAACCATCCAAGGTCGGGAAGTCTCTGAAAAACCAGGTTTTTTGGAGACATATGCATAAAAAAAAATTTTTTTTTTAACATAAAGTTATATTATGATATGGTATACCTATACTTACGTATAAGCGGAAAAAAAAATTTTCTACAAGTTTTTTTTATTTTGCATTTTTCTCGAAACTAGGTTTTTGGGTATCAAAAACCAGTTTTCCCCCTTTTTCTCCGCCATTTCAAGTCCGATCGGGCTGAAAATTGTTTTGATGAGACTTCAAGTGATTTGGGTTGCGTGTTTTTTTTTTTCTGGATACCTTCTACCAATTAAGTTTGGCAGACTTCGCAAAATTTTTAGGATCCAAAAACCTAGAGATTTTGCGAAGTGCTCAGTATTTTGGTTCTCCAGCCTGAAGTATTTGGANTCATAAAATGTCAGTTTTCGTTGGAATGGTCAAAGCTGAGATAATTATATGGGAAGATAGTCCGTCATCTGCTCTTTCATAAACGATAATTTGTTTTTCTCATTACTTCATTTTTTCCAAAAAATTTTCAAGATTTCCGTCAACCCCTATTCGAAAAACCAGCTGTTTTTTGAAAAATCAAAAAATGTTTTTCGTTTTTTCTCAGTTTCCGCTTTCTCAAAAGTGCATCCCAAATTTCTCGTTCCTGGTTCGTTCAATGCATTAATATTTTTTGTTTGTTTAAAAGATCGTCTCAAGGCACAGGGCATAATGGAGCCATTTTTTTTAATTAAGCCTTTGTTTGGTCAATATACACCCTGTTATATGATTTGGTTACCATTTTTTGACACTTTTTTCAGTAATTGAACTTGTGATCTCTTTTTTGCGCTTAAAAAGGGGCTATTTCAAAAAAAACGGTCCCATCATGCCCTGCATCTTGAGATGCTCTTTCCAACAAAAAAAAAATATTAATATATTGAACGAACCAGGACCGAAAATTTTGGGATGCCAAATGAGTCATTTTTTACCTTTGTTTGGTTCATATCTCCCTAAAACCTGAAGATTTTGGGCCGAAAGTTTTATGGTAGTCTTCCCTCCCCAGCCCCAACATATCCTGAAAGTTTCATGCAATTTGGATGTTCCTGGGCTGAGATAGATTTTTGAGGGGGGGGGGCCTTAAGCAACCAGATAAAAGGTCATTAATTACAGATCCTTTCCAAGCAACAGAGTACAATAGGCACCGAACGTTCTTTCCACAGTTCTTAAGCAACGAAAAAAAGGTGCTGAATGACAATAAAAACAAGACATTGACTATTTTAAAACATTTCAAATTCATTGTTGAAATTTATATGACAGGACAATGTTTGCAAATAGTCTAAACAGTGTATATTCGGATTTTTTTATAGATAAAAATTTTTATGACAGATGTCAAGGATGATAGGTAATGATTTGCCACAGCCATGATATGATCAACATTAAAAAAGCGTGAACTGATCAAATTATAACTTTGAAAAATCATCAATATCAGTGTTTCAGAGATTGTTGAAATATATAATATTAGGCTGAGACCTGCAGCAGATATAAAGAATATTTACAACTGTGCTTATTTGCTAATTAAACTAATAGTTAGAATAATAATCATGTTTAAATCAAGAAAAACACAGAGTCAAAAAAAAAATGAAAAGTAACTAAAAAATAAAGTTTAAATAAAATAGTTCTGTTCGAAATGCAGAAATTAATACGGCAGATCGTTTCCGTGGCGATTGATTATCATTAGGAAACAACTAGAGTCAGCTAGAAATTTTTCACTTAACTTATTTTTGTACTAGTAAAATGAGACTGAAGAACATATGTAAGCCTCACATTTTACCTATGGAAGAGCTGCATTGAGAAGGTTTTGTCAATAGTTCAGTAAAATACTTCAAAATATTCTTACTAAAAAATTAATTTTTTTTTCAAATTTTAATATTTTCTTTTTTTGTGTCCATTCTGAATAGCTGATCATAATATTAGTACAGAAAAATAAATATACAGGCCTACGAAAACTATGCTTCTTTGAACTTCGACTTTAAGAGTAAAATAGATATGCTGTAATTACTCTTTAATATGACATTATTTTACAATCGTAATTTTCTAACCGATATTCATATTTAATAATACTCTGCTGTAACCAGTATATGACCTTTTCTTTTTTTTATTATCTCTCAAGATAAACATTAAATTAGTGATAAAAATCTCTTAGAAGCTAGTTTGAATACGAAAAGAAATATAATAAAATTTCATATTCAAATATATTACACTAATTTTTATCCACATAAAACTAAAATAATTTTTCTGCATAAATGAATGCATTAAGACAAATGCATAGATTATGAAGAAAAAGTAAACAAATAAAATAGAATTTCCACACATTTGTATCAAATAGTTATTAACGATTAACTACTAAAAATAGCTGTTTTGTTAGCACTGTAGCTATTGTTGCTAATAACAGGTAGATCGTTTTATTCCATCTATTTTTGAACATATTTCTTCATCATCCTACAGAAATGCTATAAGAAAGTAGTTTATATATTATAATGTGACATTTTATTCACATACAGTCTGTGACGCGATAGAGTGGAAGTGTTGCTAAGGTGTCTGTGATGAAGGAGAGACGTTGTTAGGGATGTCTATGATGAGCTTTTTTTTTAAACGTGTGTATCGGATAAACTTGATCTCGATTGAAAGTGTTGAAAAAAGCTTTATAAAAATAAAAGATGAAATTTTGAGAGATGTCATTACTTCACGATCAATATGAGCGTATGAAATGTAAGCGTAAATATATAACTGAAGAAAAGACAGGTTATCATAATAGAACAAATTTTTGTATTTATCGAAATCATACAAATGATGAGATTTGATCAATTTCATAGAAGCAGAAAAACAAACAAACAGCACCATTGCAAACTAGAATATTCTTTATCATAATTTTCTCATTACAACATGTGATCTCTTCAATGATTTGTCTTCTATATTGTAGCCAAAAATAGTTATGAATTGTACAATAAGAACATTATTTAAAGTCGATAAATTAATATTTCAAAATATTTTTTTATTCTGTCTTTCAATCTTTTGTTTTTCAATAATGAAAAAGTATTCATAAATCTACATGTTAGTTTTCGGCATGTGTACTTTCGACTAAAATTGAAACAATCGTCTGTAGAAAGAAGATTTGCAAAGAATTCTAGTTCAATATACTTCAATACTTCTTTTAGATCATGTTTCAGAAAACGAACCAACTTGACATTTATTAATTAATTAATACGGAAGAAAAAAAAAATAGATTATCGTACACTTAATATCTAATGAAATATTTTTTCAAGAAAAAAAAAAAAAGAAGATACATAATAATCAAAGAAATAAATTATTATTATCACCAAGTTCTTCATAAACATGCTTAGTTGAACTTTGAATAATATGACTTGGTTGTTCATCAAAACTTATATTACTCATTATTGATGTTGATGTTATTGCTTCTTTATCAATACCATTGCTATAATCCGATGATAAACTTGCTATATGATTTGTTGTTATACTACTACTTAATGTTCTATCATTACAGTTTAAAAAACAACAAGGTGAAGGTCGTATACATGGTAATTGTCTTGAATTATGATAGTACCAAGATGAAGTAGGTTTTAAATATGTTTGACAAGGTTTTTTTTTAAAATAATGATATTTTATTGATGGAGAAGAAACTATTGAATATGTATATGTTCCATCATTATTATTTCGATCAATATACATATTATGTTTTTCTTTTTCATGATGAAATAAATGATGAGAATGTTTTTGTTTATAATGTACATGACAAATAAAAGATAATATTATTAAAAAACATATTGTTAAAATAGTACCAACAAGAAATCCAAATATAATTGAACGATTAATAAATAATGTTTGTTTATTAGATGTTATTATTGTTGTTGTTGTTTCTCGACAATATTTATCAGTACCATATGATAAACGTGTTATTAATAAACATACATGATATATTTTATTTGATGATAAATTAGGAATAATATATTGTTTAAGATAAGGTGATATAAAATCAGTTTGTCGTATAATTTCAATTTTTGAAGGATATTCTTGTTCAATAATTATTTGAAATTTTGTTTTTAGAAAATAATTTGTTAATAAACTTGAATCAAAATCCCAAAAAATTAATAAATCATTATTTTCATAATATGTATTGAAAGATGTTAAATAAAAAGATGATATTGAATTTTGATCAGCATTAAATTTTTCTATTGTTTCAATTTCTAGAAGAAAAACAAACTATTAATAGATAAGACTTCGATAGATTCAAGTCAACGTTAGATTCATGTTTTTTATTCTAGAAGGGGATCACACACTTATTTCTTTTTTCTATCAGATTAATAGATTTAAGTTGTACATTACAATTTTTGCATAAATATCGATATTTTTTTGCTATCTCCGGCAGCTTAGAGTAATATTTTCTTAGTCAAACAGACTAGGAAAACATTGATTGTTTGTATAAATATTAGATCATCCATCAGCAATGCCTGGAAGTGTGAATCGTTTGTTACAAGTACGAAAGAATTCTACCGAGAATCTGCTCAATTTTGTCTTCATCTTTGGTGACTAAGATGACATGTCAATTAAATACTTTGAACATTGAACAAATTCATTACGCAATATCTTGTTTTTTTCTTTTAACATTTTTGCTGCATCATTACACTTTTTTTCAGCATAGCAGATCAGAAATTCTTCTTCCAAAACTTGCATTCTACTAACTATAAACACCTGCAAGCTTCTTCAAATTTTACTTTTTTTTAAAATATTATTTACGAATTCGACGTGTTAATTAACTTACTCAATAGGACTTACGTTGTGAAATGATATTTATCACTTTGATATATTTCCTTTTAAGAATAAATTCGGTTCTAAAATCTATAAAAAATTTGAAAAGGATTCCACACGATAAAATTAGAAATCTACCATTTTCTTTTTTTTTTCTCTAAATATATTCAGCATGAAAGACCATGTTAGTTTGCATATTTTGATATTGAACAGTGTAGTTGCATGCGTGTTTCTTCGCTCCACAAAACTTGGTAAGTTTTTTTTTTTTCAATCATAAATATACAGGTCTGAGTACGGTAAAAACGGCAATGCTATCAGTACTCTTTAACAGTACGATAGTTACTGATAAAGTAACGAACATGTCTATCTCGACATATGCAATATCTCAAAAAATTAGAAGTTTATGATAGGTCAACACAATAGTCAAGTCTGCTTAGAAATCAAATACTTCGAGAAAGACATGTTTGTTTTTGCTGAAAATTTTATAACTATCTACTGACTATCAAACGTGTATATAGGCTAAATTTCAGTTGAAACGGCTACAATTCTTTATCAGTAGGCGGTGGATCCGAATTCTTGTACGCTTGTTTTAGTCTCACTAAAACCTATTCGTAGTCGTTATAAGAAGTTAAACCGGAAAATTATGGAAAAGAGAATATTATATCCAATAAATACTTGAAAATGTACGGAATAATATATGATCTTTCATGTTGTATATATGTTATATCTAAACTTGTATAGAATTGCAGATTTATCATCTTATCATGCGGGAATCCTTTTGATCTTTTGATAAAGATAAATACTTATTTGAAACAAAAAAAAAACATCGTTGAAAAAAAGATAAGATTCAAATGACATAGTACTCAATAAGATTAATCTACTCATACGATCTTTTGTACCTTCATTAATATACAATCGGATTAATTTTTTGGTATCAGAATTTTTAATTCTTACTTACTTTCTGTTGAATCCTCAATTTTTTTATACATTCCAATAACATTTGATTCTGTTTGTTTAATTAAATTTTCTACATATTGTTGAATTTCTTGAAAATTTGTTACTTCTTGACAATTATTTGGTAAATCTGTTGAGCATGTAGTTAACAATTGTTCATATGTTAAATCTTTTAAAAATCGATCTTTAAATATTTGTGGTGTAGCACATATTGTTTGATTTCCAA